CCCTCCACTCTACAACCTTCCACTCTACAACCCTTCCACTTACAACCCTTTCCACTTCACAACCCTTCCACTCTACAACCCTTCCACTTCCAACCCTCTCCACTCTACAACCTTCCACTCTACAACCCTCCACTCTACAACCCTTCCACCTACAACCTCTCCACCTACAACCCTTCCACTCACAACCTCCACTCTACAACCCTTCCACTCTACAACCTCTCCACTCTACAACCAATCCACTCTACAACCCTTCCACTCTACAACCCTTCCACTCTACAACCCTTCCACTTCACAACCTCTCCACTCTACAACCCTTCCACTCTACAACCTCTCTCCACTCTACAACCTCCACAACCCCTTCCACTCTACAACCCTTCCACTCTACAACCCAATCCACTCTACAATCCTTCCACTCACAACCCTTCCACTCTACAACCTAATCCACTCTACAACCCTTCCACTCTACAACCTCTCCACCTCTACAACCTCTCCACTCTACACCCTTAACACACCACCTACACCCCTTAACACACCACCTACACCCCTTAACACACCACTCAACCCCCTTAACACACCGCCTACACCTTAACACACCACCTACACCCTTTAACACACCATTACCCCTTAATACACACCACCTACACCCCTTAACACACCACCTACACCCCTTAACACACCACCTAATAATGGTTGCCCATCGTGGTGAGGATGGCCGGCCCAAGGGCCACCTAGGCGTGAATTTGTTTAGGTGTAGAAGCTGTCACCAACACAAGAACCACACCCTGAGTTAACGAGTTGCATGACCCAGTGTTTAAGGTGTAGCTAATGCCAACACAACAACCACACCCTTAGTTAACGAGCTGCATGACCCAGTGTTTAAGGTAGAGCTGTCGCCAACACAACAACCACACCCTGAGTTAACGAGCTGCATGACCCAGTGTTTAAGGTGTAGAAGCTGTCACCAACACAACAACCACACCCCTGAGTTAACGAGCTGCATGACCCAGTGTTTAAGGTAGAAGCTGTCGCCAACACAACAACCGAACCCTGAGTTAACGAGCTGCATGACCCAGTGTTTAAGGTGTAGAAGCTGTCGCCAACACAACAACCACACGCTAAGTTAACGAGCTGCATGACCCAGTGTTTACAGAAGCTGTCGCCAACACAACAACCACACCCTGAGTTAACGAGCTGCATGACCCAGTGTTGTGTAGAAGCTGCTCCAACACAACAACCACACCCTGAGTTAACGAGATGCATGACCCATGTTTAGGTGTAGAAGCTGTCGCCAACACAACAACCACACCCTTAGTTAACGAGCTGCATGACCCAGTGTTTAAGGTGTAGAAGCTGTCGCCAACACAACAACCACACCCTGAGTTAACGAGCTGCATGACCCAGTGTTTAAGTAGAAGCTGTCGCCAACACAACAACCACACCCTGAGTTAACGAGCTGCATGACCCAGTGTTTAAGGTAGAAGCTGTCGCCACAACGAACCCTGAGTTAACGAGCTGCATGACCCAGTGTTTAAGGTGTAGAAGCTGTCGCCAACACAACAACCACACCCTAAGTTAACGAACTGCATGACCCAGTGTTTAAGGTGTAGAAGCTGTCGCCACACAACAACCACACCTAAGTTAACGAGCTGCATGACCCAGTGTTTAAGGTGTAGCTGTCACCAACACAACAACCACGCTAAGTTAACGAGCTGCATGACCCAGTGTTTTAGGTGTAGAAGCTGTCGCCAACACAACAACCACACCCTGAGTTAACGAGCTGCATGACCCAGTGTTTAAGGTAGAAGCTGTCACAACACAACAACCACACCCTGAGTTAACGAGCTGCATGACCCAGTGTTTAAGGTAGAAGCTGTCGCCAACACAACAACCACACCCCTTAGTTAACGAGCTGCATGACCCAGTGTTTAAGGTGGAGCTGTCGCCAACACAACAACCACACCGAGTTAACGAGCTGCATGACCCAGTGTTTAATGTAGAAGCTGTCGCCAACACAACAACCACACCCTGAGTTAACGAGCTGCATGACCCAGTGTTTAAGGTAGAAGCTGTCGCCAACACAACAACCACACCCTGAGTTAACGAGCTGCATGACCCAGTGTTTAAGGTGTAGAAGCTGTCGCCAACACAACAACCACACCCTGAGTTAACGAGCTGCATGACCCAGTGTTTAAGGTGTAGAAGCTGTCGCCAACACAACAACCACACCCTTAGTTAACGAGCTGCATGACCCAGTGTTTAAGGTAGAAGCTGTCGCCAACACAACAACCACACCCTGAGTTAATGAGCTGCATGACCCAGTGTTTATGTAGTCGCCACACAACAACCACACCTAAGTTAACGAGCTGCATGACCCAGTGTTTAAGGTGTAGAAGCTGTCACCAACACAACAACCACACCCTGAGTTAATGAACCCAGGTCCCCAATTACTGCGGTAGACAGAGGCAAATGGCGTAAAGAATCTGGCCCATAGTTTCACCTGCCCGGGGATCGAACCGGGTCCGTTCGCATGCTGACCATTACACCACCTACACCCCTTAGCACGCCACGTACGCCCCTTAACACGCCACATACACCCTTTGATACGCCACCTACACCCCTTAACACACCACCTACACCCCTTAGCACGCCACGTACACCCCTTAACACGCCACATACACCCTTTGATACGCCACCTACACCCCTTAACACACCACCACCCCCTTAGCACGCCACGTACACCCTTAACACGCCACATACACCTTGATACGCCACCTACACCCTTAACACACCACCTACACCCCCTTAGCACGCCACGTACACCCTTAACACGCCACATACACCCTTTGATACGCCAACCCTACACCCCTTAACACACCACCTACACTCCTTAGCACGCCACGTACACCCCTTAACACGCCACATACACCTTTGATACGCCACCCACACTTAACACTCCACCTACAGCCCCCTACAACCTCTCTGAAGACCAGACTTGATGAACACTGGCGCAGGTATAGATATATTCTGGCATTTTGGAGCAAGAACTTGACACCAGTAGTAAACAGAGCCAGTACTTGACGACAGTGGCAAACAGAGCCAGTACATGACGACAGTGACAAACAGAGCCAGTACATGACGACAGTGGTCAAACAGAGCCAGTACATGACGACAATGGCAAACAGAGCCAGTACATGACGACAGTGGTCAAACAGAGCCAGTACATGACGACAGTGGTCAAACAGAGCCAGTACATGACGACAATGGCAACAGAGCCAGTACATGACGACAGTGGTCAAACAGAGCCAGTACATGACGACAGTGGTCAAACAGAGCCAGTACATGACGACAATGGCAAACAGAGCCAGTACATGACGACAGTGGTCAAACAGAGCCAGTACATGACGACAGTGGCAAACAGAGCCAGTACATGACGACAGTGGCAAACAGCCAGTACATGACGACAGTGGTCAAACAGAGCCAGTACATGACGACAGTGGTCAAACAGAGCCAGTACATGACGACAGTGACAAACAGAGCCAGTACATGACGACAGTGGCAAACAGAGCCAGTACATGACGACAGTGGTCAAACAGAGCCAGTACATGACGACAGTGGTCAAACAGAGCCAGTACATGACGACAGTGGCAAACAGAGCCAGTACATGACGACAGTGGCAAACAGAACCAGTACATGACGACAGTGGCAAACAGAGCCAGTACATGACGACAGTGGCAAACAGAGCCAGTACATGACGACAGTGGCAAACAGAGCCAGTACATGACGACAGTGACAAACAGAGCCAGTACATGACGACAGTGGCAAACAGAACCAGTACATGACGACAGTGGTCAAACAGAGCCAGTACATGACGACAGTGGCAAACAGAGCCAGTACATGACGACAGTGACAAACAGAGCCAGTACATGACGACAGGGCAAACAGAACCAGTACATGACGACAGTGGTCAAACAGAGCCAGTACATGACGACAGTGGCAAACAGAGCCAGTACATGACGACAGTGGCAAACAGAGCCAGTACATGACGACAGTGGCAAACAGAACCAGTACATGACGACAGTGGTCAAACAGAGCCAGTACATGACGACAGTGGCAAACAGAGCCAGTACATGACGACAGTGGCAAACAGAGCCAGTACATGACGACAGTGACAAACAGAGCCAGTACATGACGACAGTGGCAAACAGAACCAGTACATGACGACAGTGGTCAACAGAGCCAGTACATGACGACAGTGGCAAACAGAGCCAGTACGACGACAGTGGCAAACAGAGCCAGTACATGACGACAGTGGCAAACAGAACCAGTACATGATGACAGTGGACAAACAGAACCAGTACATGACGACAGTGGCAAACAGAACCAGTACATGACGACAGTGGCAAACAGAGCCAGTACATGACGACAGTGACAAACAGAGCCAGTACATGACGACAGTGGCAAACAGAACCAGTACATGATGACAGTGGCAAACAGAGCCAGTACATGACGACAGTGACAAACAGAGCCAGTACATGACGACAGTGGCAAACAGAGACGTGACTGACCATCCAAGTGGCTAACAGGTGGGAATCGTCTCATTCTTTCCATCCTAAATATGAAATCACGCAATTAGAACAAGGTTTTATCGCATTTATTTATGTAATATGTCTGTCAATTAAATATTAACCGCAAAATATTTGAATGGTTATAAAAGTAGAGGATATTAACTTAAATATTTATTTGATTAATATTCCGCCAAAGGCACATTCAAACACACGTTAGTAGATGTTAAAAAATAAACACGATCAAAATCTACAAAACTCTCACAATAATTATGTTTATAAAGCAGAATTATATAAGAAAAAAATTACATAAATTAAATATAAAAGGTTTTAAAATTTTATAAGTGTTTAATTATATTGTAATATCTAAGATATAATGAATTAGCGAGATTGTTCTTGGCTATTTACCAACATTAATGGTTGGCGGTGAAGCAGGCCCAGACATGAAGTAAACAAACCCCAGGTGGAGGTGAGGTGATCTGTCTCTTATCTTTATTTGTGGTGTTATTTACGGTTATTATTCTGTGGTTTTAGGACATGTCACTATAGAAGGTCTTAGGACATGTCACTATAGAAGAACAGTATATTTTACCCTCTATTTAATTATGTCCGTAACTTTTGAAAGCCCTTACTGTTGTCAGACAAAAGCCACCCCGATCAAAGTAGGGGGCTTTTGTGTGGGTGGCTTTTGTGTGGGTGGCTTTTGTCTGGGGGGCTTTTGTCTGGGTGGCTTTTGTCTGGGGGGCTTTTGTCTGGGTGGCTTTTGTCTGGGGCTTTTGTCTGGGTGGCTTTGTCGGAGGGGCTTTTGTGGGGGGCTTTTGTCTGGGGGCTTTGGGGGCTTTTTGTCGTGGCTTTTGTCTGGGGGCTTTTTGTCTTTTGTCTGGGTGGCTTTTGTCTGGGGGGCTGGGGGGCTTTTGTCTGGGGGCTTTTGTCTGGGTGGCTTTGTCTGGGGGGCTTTTGTCTGGTGGCTTTCGTCTGGGGGGCTTTTGTCTGGGTGGCTTTTGTCGGGGGGGCTTTTGTCTGTACCCCAGTGAGGATAGTGTCTTAGTATAAAATCGCAATGCTGTGAAACAAAATCTTAATATTTAATCTCAGTACCGCAGCAAAAGTCACATCAATATTTTTTAACCAATACTTTAATATTTCTTACCTTATAGTATTATGTCTTCCAACGAAGTAAATAACTGGATCGAAAACACAAGAGAACTTAAAAGTCGTCTAGCCTCCCCTCGTCTTGTCACGATGGAGACTTGTGCAGAACTGAAGTGAATTGCTTGTAACTGGTGGATTGGTCGGCTGTACATGAACTGATATGACCCGAGACTGCATGGTTTTGCAGCTACTGGAGACGTTAATCCTTCCCTTTGTATCGGCGGCAAGTTAATCCTCGTCGTGTCTGACCTAACACCTGACCCACACCACATGAGCTCACTGGCGTACTTGTTTGAAGTTGTTTCCTTAATCCTCAACAGGTTACAGGTTGTGTGTGTGGCGGGGGGGGGCGCATAGCAAGGGTGTAGCTCATGACGTGGCCGTGATGATGTGGGTCAGGTGTTAGGTCAGACACGACAAGGATTAACTTGCCGCCGATACAAAGGGATGGATTAACGTCTCCAGTAGCTGCAGATATGGGTGATGAGCAGACCCAAAAGTGCCGCCCGGACCCCCCCCCCCAGTTACGCTAGTGCATTTCCCTTGCATACATTTCTCATTATATGGGTAACTGTTTGTCTGTCTCTCTCCTGCCTTTCTCTTCAAATTCTTAATAATCACGTCTTGAAGATTACTGTGTCGTTCCGGTCATGCAGCGAATTTTAGTAGTTTATATTAGGTTAAGTTAGGTTAGGTTGCATTTGAGAAGCAGTGCTGTGACCAGGTGGGTGTACAGTATAGTTACAGTTAATAGCTGCCAGGTGGGTGTACAGTATAGTTACAGTTAATAGCTGCCAGGTGGGTGTACAGTATAGTTACAGTACAGGCAACTCTTGGTATCCTTAATGGGTTAGTTTCTTTTAAAACCATTGTTATCAAATGATGTATGAAGTGTCAGCAAGCATGAAGAGAACTAGTTGGCACCAAGCATGAAGAGAACTAGTTGGCACCAGCAGTATGAGTAATAGTATACTGTACATCTGGATCCCCTTCTATGAATCCTCCTGCAGAAAAGTCATATATTTTTCAATAACATTATTTTCCCACATTTTACACATTGATACTAATTATGATATATACAGGTTAACTTGGGCATGTTATTTTCACTGGCTTAAGCACTGTTCATCACTGTTTAACACCACCAGTTCCACTCCTATCCAAAATGAAATTGTAACTTATGGCAAGAGCTTGCTGATATTCCGGTGGGGAGGAGGGGTTGAGGGGAGGGTGTTAGGGTACGTGCCAACATTACAGTTGGCTCGGCCATTGAAGCAGCGCCCTATAGTTCTTGACCCTTCGATAGTCAACGGTGTGTATGTATGTGTTCTAGCTAATGAGAATATGCGAGCACATACAAGTTACAAATTATAAGGTATTGTACAGTACTGTATATCTTTCTGTACTGTACTTGGAGAAGTATTTTAAGAACTTCACTAAATGTGTCTCAACATGCAGAATCATTTAACAGAGTCAACGGCTGTCTTTATATACAGTACACGTCATTATCACATAAATTCATAATACACATTAATGTTGACAAGGAAATTAATAGAAATATATAAAATAATTTTGTAAGTGTATTTATTAGGTTTTGTAAACAAACATGGAGGCTGCGACCATCGTAAAACTGGTCTTAACCATCGCCTAGCGGTAAAACTGATCGATCGTGTAGTATATACCGTATAGATCCATCTTATAATGATCAACACCTGTACAAGAAATGTATTCTTAGGCAATCTCCAATCATAAATCTTAAATAACTAGATATTTAAAGCATATCTGGGGGTTTGCTTCATATTATGCAAGTTGGCTGGGATGAACTTCTGCTGCTAATACTGTACTATACATAGCCAGTGTTACTTACTTACAAATGCTATAATACTGTATTGTTTAACACAAATTTTTTGTTACAGGGTACTCAAACTCTGACAGCCATCACTCTTAAAAGATGCAGAAAGTCGAGGATAATACATCACATGTTGGTAGTGACACTGGTAAGACTCAGAAGACCTTATTACACTTCTTCCAGAAACAATCTGTCTCCAGCCCAGCCATTAAGGAGATCACTTGCCCAGCTTGTAACCTCACAGTCCCAGAGAGAAAACTCAACTGGCACCTTGATTATCACTGCACAAGTAAATCAAAGCCAAATAAGAAAGGAAAGACTAAGAAAAATACAAACTTAAGGGCCAAGAAAAATAAAGAAGGGAAGCTGAGAAAGCCGCCTTTACTGTCTGATGGCGAGGGTGACGGTGAGGACTTCACCGTGTTATATGTAAACAAAAATATAAGACCAGAAAACTGTGACTCGGATTGTGATGATGAGTACATACCTTCATCTATGGTAGAAACACAATTATTTGAATTAGATGAAATGAACATTTTTGTGCCATCGAAACCCGACCTTTCCTTCTCTCCCAGCTCTAACAAAACTTCATTATTGAACAGGCTGGAAGCAGGTTGGGATTCACCACAGACAACAACTGAAAAAGTTAGTAGTAATGTGTCCCAACCCTCGCCATCCTGCTCACTACACACAGAGTCTGGGAAAATAGTAAAAGCCATGTTGGAAGAGGACTGGGATTCATCATCGCCGCTGACAACACCAGACAAGAAAGAATCTCTTACACAAAATGAGAACAAGAACAGTTTAATACCCCATAATAGTTTCCTTAAAACTGAGTTGGAGAATGACAAGTTTGAAAAGCCTTCTCTTCAAATTAAAACGCATGCAAAAAAATTGTCAAGTAATAGTTCAAATTGTACATCCACAGAAGTATGTATAAAACAAAAGAGCGATGATCCATCTTGTGATAAAGGACCCAAGACAGATTTAGGAAGTGATAGTGATTTTGAAAAAACTAACATTATATTTAGAACACCAGAGAAAACAATTGGTTCTCAAGCTAAAAACTTTAAATCTCTTTCTCCCAAAGTAAAAAAAGATGAAAACAATTCTCTCTCGTCAGGTACAAAAATCAACACAGATTTAACATATGAAAATGATTTTCAAAACACTACAAAAATAAAGGATAACTCCCCACATCCTGAAGTAGAAACAACAGATGAAAGAGAGAGAGCTCTTCAAGTGTTAGCTACCCCACAAACAAGTGACATGTCAGATACTGAAGAGGGAAGTGTGAACTTGTTGAGCCCAGCACTTGTGACCCCCACAAGGTCCCCGACCCCACCGCTGAGTGATGAAGGCCATGGTCCTGTCAGACGGCTTTTCAAAGGTGAGAGTCCTTCAAAGTTGAATCAGGTTGTGCAGGACTCCACTGTAGAACTTTCAATGAAAATAAATCCTTCAGAAGTAAGAATTTATACAAATAGTTGTGCAGATGTGTCCAGAGCTGGAAATAACCTAGATGATGCCTTTGATGCATTATCTCAGTTCTCTTCACAAAACAATAAGACTAGGAGAAGTCCTTGGAAATTGAAGCAAGGTCTAAAAAGCACAGGATTATTACAGAATTCCACATCAAGCCTTCCACTGCTGAGCCAGAGAAAGAAAACACCTACCCCATCTCCTTCTAAGTCACCCTCAAAGTCAAGCAGTGGTCAGCCAAGTCCATTAAAAGATAGAGAAGTTGATCAGTTATTACAGAGAGATTCTTCAATATATAGAAACTATAAAGGATATTATTTAGACAACTTCCTCAGAATTTTAGAGACTGTTTTGTCACAGCCACAAGACTTAAAACTTCTGGATGATGAAGACCTGAACACCATCAGCACCTTCCAGAACCTTACACTGTCCGCTCAGAAGCTCTATGTTCGACTCTTCCAAAGAAAGTTAAAATGGATCAAACTTTCCAAGATTGATTACAAAGACATATGTGACCAGGAGGATACTATGCTATATGTGAATGAACTGACTTATGCAAATTTCTTACAAGGAGGTAACTATATCTACTGTACACTACTTTATCAGTTTATTTATCTTTATTATTTTGACTCGACATTGCCTTTTCTAACAATTTTTTGGATATTTGTGAGGTAGGATTCACTTAGCCATAGTGTATATGTAGATCTTATTTGTGAATGTGTAACAGTCATGAGGTTAAGTCTAGCCAATAAGGGGTCAGATAGGTGGAAGTTGAGATTGTAAATATTTGAAGGTGTGTGTGTGTGTGTGTGTGTGAGAAGGCTAAGATTTTGAGTGTGTTGTGAAGTACAGTACAGTAAACCCTTGCCATTCACGAGGGTTAGGTTTCAAGAAATGACGCGAATTAGCAAAACTGCAAATAGCAACTTAAATTCTATTGTAGTGCAGTAATATATTCCTATACTGTGTGTGAGAAACTTAATTCACCAATACTTACATTAATATGTGGAAGTTTGGAGCTCGACGAAGTGGTGTACTGTACATAGGGAGACATCTGGTTACTGAAGCATAGATGGATCATCAGGATCAATGGTGGAAGGTGATGCAGTGGTGGTTGGTGGAGAAGCTGGTAACTGGGAGGTGGTGTGTGGCCTGGAGGCGGGTGGTGGGTGGCTGGGAGGAGGAGGATGGAGCGGTGGCAGTAGTAGCTGGTTCTTTCTTAAAAAAACATGGTGATTGGTAGTTGTTTCTTCTTTGCTTTGAGGTCTTTAAACATTTCCTGGTAGGGAAACAATACCTGGCTGATTCCTCGGACCATCATAAGGCTGTGTTCCATGGAAGGGTTGTGGTCAACAATGAAATCATTCACCCTCTTTACCTGTCGAAATAGTTCACCAAAATTGTCCAAGCTCCAACCATCTTGTTGCAGCTCCATAATTTCTTCCTCTTCCTCAGCACTTTTTACCAACTCTTCCAAATCCTCTTCTGTCAGTTCCTCTCCATGCCCATCAATCAGCTCTTCCATGTCTTCAGCAGCCATGTCCACAAACCCCTCACCACCTAACTGACTTGCAACAACAATGTCATTCACATCCTTTACTATGGATGGAAATCCTTGAAAGTTATTCACACACTCACCAACAGGCATTCACTGTCTCTGGTTCGAGCTCATTGAATGCTTCACTGATGCTGGTAATGCAGTCCGCAATGCTGTACTCCTTCCAACACTTGCTAACACCAAGGTCAGGGTCTGCATCCATGGCACTACGGATACAACCAAAAGAGCGGCGTGTATAATATGCCTTGAAGGTGCGTATTACACCCTGATCGAGAGGCTGGATAAGAGCAGTGGTGTTAAGCGGTAGGAACACAACCTCTACATCTGAATGCCTAAACTGTAAACTTTCTGGGTGGCCTGGTGCATTGTCTATCAATAATAACACCTTGAATTACATTTAGGGAACCAGTCCAGGAATGCTTGCACAGTTACCCGTGCCTTTTTGTTGGACTGCCAAAACACTGGCAAAAGGGTCTTGTTTTTTCCCTTTAAAGCCCTAGGGTTTGCTGAGAGGTAAAGCAAGCCAGGTTTGATCATGCAGTGCCACAAGATGAGCGTCACTCTGTCCTTGGCTGTCTTGAACCCAGGAGCACGCCTCTCCTGCTTGTTTATGTACGTTCTACCAGGTATTTTCTTCCAATATAGATCGAATTCATCAGCATTAAACACTTGCTCTGGTCTATCGCCTTTCTCTTCTATTATTTTCTTTTTCTTGGCGGGAAATGCATCTGCGGCTGTGTGATCAGCTGGTGCAGCCTCCCCAGTCAGCTTCATATTATGGAGCGAGAATCTTTTCTTAAAATTCTCGAACCAACCTTTACTGGCACTAAAAGTTGGTTCAGTCGCTGTACTATCCCTTCACCACCTGTTGACTCGTAAAAATGAGCATAAAGATTTTTAGCCTTCTCACGAATCGCGGTGCTGTCCATCAGAACATTTTTGCGGTGCTGGTCCTCAACCCCAATGTTCAGTGCTTTCTCAGTTTTCACTATGTTCTTGTCACGAACAACCTGCCCCACTTGTAGGAGCACTTACTTGAACAGAATCACGAATTGCTTGTTCATTTTTCTCTATTTACCGCACTGTGGATTTATTCACACCAAACAACAGACCATCCACGGCAGCACTCATCCCCTCCTTTAACTTGTCTAATAATTCAACTTTCTTTGTCAGAGTCATCACTGACTTTTGCCTTTTACATTTCACTCCACTAGCTTCACTAGCACTGACACTAGGTAGTCTTTTAGGGGCCATTTACACAAAGAAACACGAAAGATTTGAGAGTACAACACGAGATGCTAGGTCACAGGTACTGGGTGAGCGCGAAGAGAGGGAGTGAGACGCTGCGGGCTCGTGGGATGACTCGTTGCGCTGCGGTAAAAAGCTCACAAGCTAGCCGCCAGAGCTGCCATCTGCTTACCGCGAATGTCGAAATTGCGAATCGCAAACCCACGAATGGCGAGGGTCTACTACAGTAAACAGTGTTGATAAGTGATGGTGTGTGAATGTGACCAAGAAAGGAATTCTCAAGGGAATAGAGGCAATGAATGGTGGTTTAGAAAATCCTGTAGTGTTGATTAGTGTATGGGGATGAACATGGTAGTGGCCTCCAATATAGAACAGCCCTAGACAGCATGTGATAGAGTGTCTGCCTCAATGGGTTGACTGTGGGTGCTCCCATATAAACTACAGTACTAGTCAACTGTGGGACGTATGTAGCAAAACTTGGTAAAATTATGCCGACAAGATTCACTACTCTGTTTTCGTAGTGTATGTAAAATGGTGCAATGATGATGATGATGACTGGATTCAAGTTGTGTTAGACGTGATAAAAATATATATTAGGATATGACAAAACATAACATTTCCAAAAACTTCAAAATATTCGTAAGAGGTATTCTGTTTTGACTGAGGCCACTGAATTTGTAGCTGTATCAGGTACAGTTGTGGTGTGCTAAAGCCGCTGTATATACTTATACTGTTTTGTATATGGTAAAGGAATAATTACATCTAAAGAAATTGTTTGAACAGAAAGTGAACTGACCAATTTAGAAGAGGTACTTATGCTGTTATCCAATGATGAACTACACGGACTTTGCAAGCAGAAGAACGTAAGTTGTGAGAATTTAAGTTTTTAGTATTAAGAAGCTGACCACTCGATGCTTAAAATGAAACCTGGACACTGAATTTTTCTTGCCTACTTTTTGTTATTATTTAATATGATTACTGTAATTGTTTTTGAGGATTATGTTTCAGTGACAGTTTTAAATGTTACTGTACTCCATTAGCCAGAATCCCTTTTACCAGGAGCTTTCCAATAGCTGTAATTGAAATTTGCTCGGGATTTTTCCAGAAAATTTCTCACAATTCCCGAGTTTGGGAACGATATTCCAAGGTTGAAAATCAGATGCATTCTGTGAAAAATCTTAGAAAATGACCGTAGCTTTCTCCCAATTTTTTTTACGGGTCTGGGAGCAAATTCCGAGGATGAAATACAGTAAACCCTTGCTATTCGCCGGGGCTAGGTTCCAAGGAATGGCGTGAATTGGCAAAACTGCGAATAGTTGCACTACTGTATACCTATACAGTGTATGAGAAACTTAAGTCACCTCTCCTTCATATGTAGAAGTTTGGACCCTGATAAAGTGTACAGTACAGTAGGATAAGTCTGGTTACTGAAGCAAGATCATCAGGATCACCATTAGAAGAGGGTGATGCAGTGGTGGTTGGCAGCAGCTGACTCAGTAGGTGAGGGAGAAGAATCAGCTGGGTGAGCGGCCGGTTCTTTCTTGAAAAACATCGTGATTGGTAGTTGTTTCCTCTTGGCTTTGAGGTCTTTAAATGTTTCACTCTATTAGCATCACTGGCACTGACACTAGACGGTCTTTTATGGACCATTTCACACAGAAACACTAAAGTTTTCTGTACAACACAAGAGATGCTGAGTCCCAGGCAAAGGCTGAGAGCAAACAAAGGTAGAGCAGTGAGAGGAGATGCCGCAGGCGTGTGGGGGTGACTTGTTGACCTGCGGGCAGGCTTGTAAGCGAGCCACCATCTACTTACTGCGAAGTCGAAATCGTGGATCACAAATCCGCGAATAGCGAGGGTTAACTGTAATGTATCATTCTGGAAAATTCTGAGAAAATTCCGGAATCTCCAATTTTTTTCCCAAAGTTTGGGATCAAATTCCGAGGATGATATAATGCATCATTCTGGAAATGTCCGAGAAGCTTTTCCCAGTGCTCGCAAAAATTCCAGGTATGGGGAATTTTTTCCGGAAATAAGAGTCGTCTCGTTACCCGGAAATCTCTCATTCCCAAAAGTTCTCTGCTCCAATTGTTGCGGCTAACGGAGATATCACTGCACGTCATATTAGGATGTACAGATATTAGTTAATGCCTCACTGTCTTTATGGAGAAATGTTATAATTGGACTTTGTGAGGATTAGACAGCTTATTTCACCTGATGGCTGATTATCCTAAAGCTTATCTAAACTAACCTAACCTAACCTAACCTAACCTCCAAGTACAGGTCTTGTATGCACATGTTATGTTTTGTGCACCATTTTACTGTCCCAACCACAGTACAGGTGTCCACAGTTTCTGGGAAGTTTGCACCCAAGCTCAGCAAGGAGGTTTACTAGTTAGTGTCTCTCAAGTGGTTCATCTTCTTAAGTTCATCTCATATGGTCCTTAACCCTTTGAGGATGACAGGTTTAAATCATCATGTCTAAAGGGTTAAACCATCATCCTTTAAGGGGAGCGTCCGGCTGAAAATATGACGAAAGTCGGAAAATTACGAAAATATTCAGAAAAATTCCTGAGGAAAGCTGTTGCGTTTGGTTATTTGCTGACGTAATTTGATTGTGTAATTCATAATATTTATGTAGATAGGCATGATTGTTCTCCCCCCCCCCCTTCATTTAGAGGGCCCTTCTGTTTATATAGGAAAAGCTGTAAAAAAAAGTATTTATACAGTTTATAATATTTTGGTGTAAAGTAATACAAATCACTTGGTAAAAATCAGTATCTGACACCTCTCTCAGCTAGGTAACAGCAGGACGAGAGCCTGAGGCTGCTTGTACTCCTCAGTTACCCACGTGAGAGTGAGGTTGTTCTCGCCCCACCCTTGTCTATCAGCCCATATCTCAAAACAAGTTTTTCTAACCTTCAAATCCCTAAGACTGGACCATTTATGGGCCGAGTCTAATAAAACAAAAACTACCGGTAAGTAGGAACTAACATATTTTGCGTAACATATAGATTTTCTGTGTATTTGACTTGGTTTATTATTATTTGCTGATTTATCTTTATAAATATTTGGAGGAGAAAATGGTAAGTTAGGAACAAAATTCATGCACCCAAAACAAAAGTGATAATCAGAAATATTTATATGTCATGTTGAAGAGGAGTGAATTACCTAGACTCCACATAAATTTCAATGTAATCTAGCTAGAAGTTATGGAGAAGTAGGATTTTGAAAATTGATAAGAATATAAGGGGAAAATCAGGTATCAGGGATTAGGGATTAGGCAGAACTAATTCAGGGGTATAGGAACAATGTATGTAGTGTCCTTAATTGCTGACAGGAAATTGATAGTGATTGATCAATTATTAACGTATTTCATGCTTCAGCTGGATGCTTCCCTTAAGGATTATATCATCCTCCTCTAAGAGTTAACCATCATTCTCAAAGGGTTATATATGACACTAAGTTGTCCTCTTACTCCCAGATCCTTCTTGGTTCCTTAAAACAATTTTCTTATTCTCATCCTCCATATTACACACACACACACACACTACAGCATGGCTCTATTGTCCCGGCAATAGTCGTTACCTGGTTTAACACTTGGGGCTTACTGCTGTTTGTGGTACAGTGGTAACGCTTGTATCTCTCGCCAATATGTCTAGGGTTCGAGCTTCGGTCCGTACACACGTGAGAAGGATGTTATACAGTGTAACCCTTGCTACAGGTTTCCCAGAGTACGGTTTCCTTCTGTACTAACACTGGATAGACCAACCTCCTGGATGGCTAGTAAGCCGATGAGTGGTGAAAATTATTACAAAAAAAAAAAAACGCTCCAGAAAGACCTACCAAGTTCCATGTAGTAATTGACTTGTGGCCACATTTCAGATACCTGTTGGCTACAAGAAAAAAGACAAAATGGTTTCACTATTACTCAAGTTCAACAAACAACAGCCTTCCATTGTTGCGGCTTTTTCTAAAGGAGCTAAAAGAAGCTCTGCTTTTATGGACAGGTGAGTGTATCCCAGACCATAACGAGTCCTCAGGTAGTAAGAACCTATAGGAAGGGTTTAGCATATTACAGGTACAGTGAAACCTTTATTTAATGGGTTATATGGAGAGGAAAATCTTTTATATCGAGGGTCTGATAGATGTGATATCCCCATATAAAGGATTACTGTGCTGATTTTAGAGACTTTGGAGTGCACTAAACCTTCAATAATTGGAGTTTTAGTAAATGTATCCTCACTCACTCCTTGCGACCGTCATTCTCCAGTATTCGTGATTTTTCAAGGGGTTGTGAATCCATGGATCTTTGGGGCGAGATCATAATCCATAAAATATCATTTATTGTTATACTGTAGTAAATAGAGGGTAAAACAACGTTCAGTTCCCGTAAACCATTTTCATATTTACTAAAAAAAAAATCGGTGAGTGTTAAATTTTTGCATTATTCCTTACAGGATATCCCCGACTTATGAACGCTGACTTGTGGACGCCCGCCGATACGAACGGGTTTAACCTTGAAATTTACAGTATTGTACAGTGGTCTCTCGGTTATGAACACAATTCGTTCCAGAAGGTTGTTCGTTAACCGAAACCATTGTTTCAATGGGTTTTTGGTTAATTGGTTCCAGCTCACCGAAAATTACCTAAAGTAAAAAAAAAAATGCAGTAAAGTACACTTACTTTGAGGTGTGTATGTAGAAGGCTCCAGATGATGATGCTGATGTGAATTTGAAGTGGGAGGTGGAGGAGGAGAAGGAAGTGGAGGTGGAGGAGAAGCATTTTACTGCTTCTTGGAAGATGAGTCACCTTCCATGAAAATGTCAGGAACCTCTGGATTGACAGATTCTCCACCATGAACATCCTCTCTCATTCTTGAAGTGGAAGGCTGAGGGATAGCATCTGTTACCCGATGCCTTTTAGTAAAGAAACTGTCAATTTTGGGTTGTGGGGCATTTCTCCTCCTCATCATTAACTGATGATTGAAGAAGGAGACCACTGTGTCCTCAACATTACACAAAATAGGTTCTGTTGTTTCCACATCTGGGTGCCTTGAAGCCAGTTTCCTGAACTTATCCCAGTAGTGAACAACATCTTTCAAATCTGAAGTTGACATATGGTCATCACTAGGGCCCGGATGTTTTGGCAATAAAAAAATTCAAAATAAGCAGGCAAAAAGGCAAAGTAAAGTGGCAAAATAGGCATTAAAAAGGCATTTATTCCCAGAGCATTTATAGAAATAAAACTAGAAATATAACTTAAGTACATAAGTTCCATAACTATTACTCATATGCAGGTTAATCAGTCTGGTTTGTGTCCACATAATTCTTCCTTAAAGTAGACTCGCTCAGGATTTGCTGTTTTGTGTATTTTTCCAAGAATAACTTCAGAGACTTGTTCTCCAGCTTCCACTATGGAATACCAGCATCAACAAAGGCTTTACACAGATCTTACGAAAAGGTAGACTTGTGGCTGGAGGATACACTGAATGTAGTCAGCAGACTCGTTTGATGGCTTCCTGGTTTCGTTTTCTGAGCAGCAGTTTGATGTTTAGCAGTCTGCACATGCTGCGAAACTAAGTACTTTTTCTCGAAATTCACTGGTTTTTCACAGACTTTGCAAAATAGCTCTGATCCATCAGTGGAAAAAACGTCACATCCAAACTCCCGAACAAGATCATTCAGCTTCTTACCAGATGGTGCACTAACTTTGGGCATTTTTACTTTTTTAGAGCACTGCCCTCAGCAGTCAGGTCTGCTGTTAGCCTAGTACTGTACTGAGGCAGTGCGTCGACTCATATACGTCTCGTGCCGACAAAAGCAGTGTTGCCAAGTTTTATGGGTGTAGTTTGCTAAGTTTCATGGTGTTGCGAAACTTTAATTTCGTGTTTGGAGTGTTACTTTGTGGAAATAAGTGCAAAAAAGCACAATAGGCTGTTATTTAGTAGAATAGGCATTATCACTTGCAATTCCCTAAAAAAGGCAAAAAAGGCATTTTATGGCATTTTGCCTAAACATCCGGACTCTAGTCATCACTTTCCCTTTCCTCCTCACCACTGTCAGCCTCCAACATCTCATCCAGTTGCTGCAAGTCATCAGGGTGTAAGTTCCTGCTCATGAGACATCATAAGCTCTTCCACATTGACTGACCAATGGACACAATCTCCTTGTCCAACTCTGCTTCTTCCTCAAATCCCTCAAAATCATGGACTGCTGATGGCCATGCAGAATTGAGGGATCTAATGGAGACTTCTCGCCATGATGACATAGTCAATTTTACAGCCTCCAGGATGTTAAATTGTGTCTTCCAGAACTGTGCCAGTGTTAGTTCAGGATCAGTGGAAGCTGCCTGATAACACCTCCTGAACATTTTCTTCATGTACAACTTCTTGAAGTTGCTGATCACATTCTGGTCCATTGGCTGCATAATTGATGTAGTGTTGGGAGGCAAAAACAACACTTTGACAAAGTCAAATCGAGCCTCGAAAGTGCTGGCAAGTTCAGGGTCATGACCAGGGGCATTATCCATAAGGAGAAGAGCCTTTAAAGGGAGTTTATCGGTGGTTAAGTAGCTCTTGACAGAAGGGCAAAACACCTCAACAGCCCATTCATTAAAGAGCTGTCTTGTCACCCATGCCTTACGGTTGGACTTCCAATAAACTCCAAGCTGTCCTCTTACCACTTTCTGTTACTTGAACACCCTGGGGTTCTCAGAGTGGTAGACAAGCATAGGCTTCAGTCGGAAATCCCCTGAAACATTGGCACCAAGCAATAGAGTGAGACGGTCTTTCATGGGTTTATGCCCAGGTAAAGAGACTTCGTCTCTGGTGATGATTGTCCTTTTGAGCATTTTCTTCCAGAACAGCCCAGTTTTGTCCACATTGAACACTTGCTGTGGAAGATAATTTTCTTCCTCCACCAGTTCCTTAAAGTCCACTAAAAATTTTGCTGCTCCTTCTTTATCTGCACTGGCAGCCTCACCATGCCTAATAACACTGAAAATGTCACTTCTTTTCTAAAATTTTTCAAACCAGCCTTTGCTGGCCCTAAACTCTTCAAACTCTGTGCCAGAAAAACCAGGTTGCTCTTCCTTCAAATGTTCGTAAATTTCCCTGGCTCTTTCACAAATAAATTCTGTCGAAATTGAATCTCCTTTCATTTGCTTTTCCTTAATCCAAATGAGAAGTAACCTCATTGTTTCTGCAATTAAGGATCTACCTTTAAACACTCTGGTAGATTTGTCTCTCACTTTCACTTCTTTGAACTTGTCTTTCTGTGCAGGAATTGTTGACACAGTTGATGCCGACATGCCATAGTCTTTACTAAGCACATTTGATCTAATGCCTTCTTCATGTTTCTTTATTATTTCCTGTTTTACCTGGATTGAAATTGCCTTTCTAGATTTCTTTGGACCCATGCTGGATTCAATTTCAACACTAAAATTTTAAGTTTAATTGCTGTAAATAAAGATTACTTTCTTTAAATCAACACTGCACTGCGCTATATATTATCAATATGTTAAGTAAATTTCAGAATGACGAATAATTGTACTGTAAAAACGGAAAAATAGTTTATGTTCAAGAGAGTCACAAGCAAGATGTTACCATACCTCCATTGACCAGAGATACAAACTGACGCCTTTGTGGGTGAGTCAAGTGGCTGATTGGTGCACCAAAAACTAGTTTCCTGTACTGCAATTATGTTAAATATGTGTTAAAATGACTAAAAATTTTAATATAAAACTTTTAGAATTATTGAATAGTACATCCTTCTTGATATTTAATCAAATGGGAACGAATTTAAGCCCTAGAACCGATTACTGTATTGGCGGACTAATATTCCAGCTGGTGAGCAAGCGAAAACATGTTGACATGATTTCGTAAGAATTTCGTGAACCGAATTTTTTTCGTTAACCAAAATGAAGATTCTTGTGGAAGGTAATTCGTTAACCGAAATTTCGTTAAACGAGGCGTTCGTTAACCGAGTGATCACTGTACTGTGTATACTGTACTGTACATGTTTAATGTGAGAAATATCCTGAACTATAATTTTGAGATTTTGAAAATTTTTACAGGTTACCTCTCTTGTACTGTACAGTAATACGGTATTTTTGAAAATGGCCCAGGATACTGGTGCAGCATTAGAGAAAATGGCTTGGCTGGTCTGTATGGAATGTTAGCTATTAAAGTACAAAATAATGATTTATCTGGACAAAATTTGCTGGATGCAAATGTAAATTGGTAATTACTGTGATGATAATATTTATAACACCAAACTCCATTAAAAATCTTCCTTCTGACAGGTGGCCTCACCAGAAAATCCTCCACACTGCTGTATCTTTTCATATTTCTTTTACTGTACTTTTTCCCATTATCTTATCTCCCATATATGGATGCTGTACTGTACTTACTGATGTCTTTTCTCCCCAGTGCCAAGACTTGTTTGGGGCATTGTTGCTTGGTAAACAGGACTGTGAGGCAGGTGTTCATGAGAGTGTTGATGTTGTACGGGCTGCCCCAGTATGATGATGAAGAGGAGGGAGGCCAACAGGCCCAGCTGACCACTCTGCTCATGGTCAACATGGGCAAGACGAAGTTCCCTCACTATGACATAGTTAGACAAAATTCAATTTTCCAGTCAAGAGACGATCTCTTAAGGTGTGTGATGATGAGGAGTCTCTTGTACTTATTGGGAAGAGTGATGTATGAACATTTTCCTTGCATGAAAATAACCTTAACACTAAGATATATCTGTCACTGAAGAGAAATTTTTGTTTTTTCCATCCTCAGCAGACAAGGCAAGGAACTATGCTATACTGTTCGACAGTGATTGAGACTGTTGAATTGGTAGACCGAGGAATGTCTGCCTCCCCCAGTGTTTCAAACCTTCTGGTTATTTTGTGTGTTGCCTTTGAGCTGTTGAGTTCAGTGAATGATACATGGATAAGTCCATCCATCATCAGGATATCCTTCATTTTTAAGTCTATGTGACACCATAACTCTGATTATGTGGTCATTCTGCTGCTTCCCAGATGTCCATCCTCCATCACTCTTTGTGTGTTCTTCACCCCATATCTCTCTCTCTCTCTTGTACCATTGACTTCAACACACTTTCCACCAATATTCTCCCTACATCTCCCAGTGCACCTGTTACTTCTCTGTTACTACTGTACTTATGTTCTCCATAGTTTTCCGGCATCTTCGTGGTGTAGATTAATATTAACTTTTTCTTTTCTATTTTTAATTTCTTTTTACTCTTATTTTTTTACCCCCCAGGCCCAGTTGTGAGTCGATGACCTGTGCCCCGGGAGGCTATTCCCCATATAAAAACAGAAACAAACTTAGTATAGAGTTTTGACTGTTAACTGTCACTTAGTATAGAGTCTTGACTGTTAACTGTCACTTAGTATAGGGTCTTCACTGTTAACTGTCACTTAGTATAGAGTCTTGACTGTTAACTGTCAATTAATATAGTGTCTTTGTATATTTTCAGATTTGAGAGTTGTTCCCAGATACAGTTAGATGTACAAGAGTGTATGGAGAAGCATGAGTGGGAGGAGGCGCTCAATCACTGTCAACTGGCCAAGGCGACCTACCAGGACCTCCTCCAGGATAAACACCTCATGTATGTCCACTAAGTGCTGCCATATTTACCCAGTTTTCATTACACAATCGTAACAATATTAAAGAGTGTGAGATTAGTTCAGTTGACTTTTTGTTTTAATTTAACAAATATTTCCAAAACTTTGTAACTTAGAACTCATTCAGTACTACTTGTTGGTTTTTACTTTCCACTCAGAGCTTTATACTGTACTATTTAAGACTCCCCTCTGTGCTGTACAGGGAACACGATATGTCACTACCGAGGTTCTTGCGCCGTTTCACATCACTGTCTCTCCTGGTGTACATTATGACCTGTTCCGTGGAGTGTTACCAGAGGCTGAGGAAATACCAGAAGGCCGTGAACGAGCTACAGGAACTGTTGGACCAGACCACGCACATGCAAGACTTTCGTGGCCGCTGGTACGACAGACTGGCCCTCAACTTACAGACCCATTTGAAGAAACCAGCACTTGTAAGGAAATTTTTTGTTCCAATAATATTTTGGGAGAAGAAAAGTTGGAATGAGTAATGAAGTTAACAGTACCATCCCTAAGGAGGGGGGGGGGTGCAGGGACCTTGTGTATTCTTCAGAAATAATATGAACAATCATTTTCATGTAGCACGTGTTGGTGATGCACAACTACACAGTACATGTGGAGAAGTGCTTCTACCTCACTTACCTCCTCGTTTGTAAGCAACTTCTACTAGTTTGTCAATGTTACTATTGCTGAAGCTCACAACACACTATCAATTATAAATTCACTCAACAAATTCCACCAGTTCTTCAATCTCTCCCTCACTCTCAGATTCTCATTATGTTTTGCAGAACTTATTTTTCTGGGTCACTGGAATTTCCAGATACAGTCCACGCCACTTATAGGCCACTCATATTAGCGTCCTCAAAATTGATTTCAAAAGTTTCAAATTCCAGTGTAGACTAGATGCTTACCCTCGAACACGTTAGCATGGTGTGGGTAACTAATTGTAAACTTATATTTTCTTTCTGTTTCTGAATCCTATCCACACTAAAGTGTTTGTGGTAAGAGTTGACTTTACACCTTGGCTGACCATTGATTAATTGTCTGGTTTGTGGTGTTTTGGGGAGGTGGGGGAGGGATGGTCCTTGGGAGGTGGGGGAGGATGGTCCTTGGGAGGTGGGGGAAGGATGGTCCTTTGGGAGGTGGGGAGGGATGGTCCTTGGGAGTGGGGAGGGATGGTCCTTGGGAGGTGGGGGAGGGATGGTCCTTTGGGAGGTGGGGGAGGGATGGTCCTTTGGGAGGTGGGGGAGGGATGGTCCTTTGGGAGGTGGGGGAGGGATGGTCCAAGAGAAGTTGCCTGTTGGGAATTTTGAGGCCGCCAGACTTTTTCATTTTTATTTTATTTTATTTTTATTTTTTTTCAGGGCATTAGCCCACCCGGGCACAGGTCATTTTATGACCCACATCAAGGCCTGGGGGGCGAAAATATAATAAAATAATAATAATAATAATAATAAAATTAATGTAACTCGATATAAATTATAATAATAATAGTAATAATAAAGAGTCATAAATAAATACAAAAAATAAAAAAATATTAATACAGGGTAGTGAGAAACAATATATGTATGTTGTGTTGTCAAGTAAGAGAGACAATTGAGACCCTGCAATTGTGTGTAAATGAGGCAGAAAGTCAGATCATCAACCTGGGACTTGGTCACATATGGCAGCAGGGTCTACCATGAGACAACACATTATGTTTCCAATATCTTCCCAGGTGGTAGCCTTCCTGTTTGGTAGCTGCCTACCACCTAGCTTATAAGTGACCAAAAATGCAGCTGGTGGAGGGATCAACGTGGAGAAGGAAAAGTTGCCACGTGTCAATAATTTACTAGAGCTGAAATAAGGCGCCAAACTTAAAAAGTACAGTGCGTAAAAATCCTGAGTACTGTATATTGATGATCGCCGTTGTTGCAGGACATAAGGCGCTAATCATCCATGTACAATAGCCATCATTTGACAGTTAAAGGCAGCAAAATAGGTTTAAGAAATGAGAAGCAAAATCTGTTTTAAGATAAGGAAGTTGACATAAATGCGTCATTTTACATACACTTTATACTAAGGATCTATGATATTGGTTACATGGTTCCCTGTAATGTTTCATTGGTTATATATAAGTTGTAGACTTAAGAATGCCACATGTTTAATCATGTGCAAAATGTAATGTGATTTATTGTATGTAGAATATAATATATTTTTATGATACTGCAGGCTGTTGATGTAATAAGTAAAGCTTTGGATGATCCTGAAGTGAGAGAGGGCCATCGCCTGTCAATCAGCCAAAGGGCCCTGCGTATGGCAGCGTCCCCGCGATACAAGTCCCATGCTCCTGCCATAGCCAAGTTGCCCCTCACACAACCTAGAGAAGCCCCAAAGATCATCATAGAAGGACGACGCCTTCCAGGGTGGGTAGCAAAGTGATGATTATCTTATGTGTATTGATATGAATGACTTAATTAGTACCAAATGGGTATCTTGTGTACTGTCCATATAAACTGATCAATGTTTCTTGTTTATGTACACAGTCCATAAACAAGTGGATGCTCTTCCCTTGTATTGAAGCACCTCCTCCTCTTCCACCACCTCTTGTATTGAAGACCCTCCTCCTCCTCTACTGAAGGCCCTCTTCTTAATTTGCTTGTTCCTTGAGTGTAGTGTGGATGATGATAGAATATATTAAGGACCTTTAACAAATAAATATAACAGTGCAGTAAGTTTGTGGTAACTCCTCTCAATACTCCTTCTGCCAACAACCTTATAATTAACAAAGAAATGTTTAGGAAATCTCTTATTGATGTTTATTATCTTATAGTCTTCAGGATCATTTGTATTGGCTTAATAATAGATTTGTTATTAATATAGTTGTGTAATAAACAGTGATGTTTCTGGATACAAGATATCTTTCATTCGTCAAGACTCTCATCGCCACGCTGGGGATGGTGCTGTCACATTCTGCTCAGTAGAGGAGCTGGTTCTTGGGCATTATAAGGATCAAGGCTATGATAAAGGTACAACGTTTGTATACTGTAGTTCACTTTTGGCATCTCTCAGTGTTTGTCTAACTGTGTGCATGTTAATGAAAAAGTCCCAATCACGGTAAGATGGTGACACACTGTACTACATTATTTTAGAATTTTGTATATTTTTCGTTTTCTTTCTTATATTGCTGAATTGATTGGTCAGTCCAGGTAAAGGTTAAGGGGGACATCAGTATTTTATGAGACATGAATACCCTGCCCCTCACACAGTAGTAATTAACAGATACCTGCACACCCTGGCCCTCACACAGTAGTAATTAACAGATACCTGCACACCCTGGCCCTCACACAGTAGTAATTAACAGATACCTACACACCCTGGGGCCCACACTAAGGATGTGAAACTGTGGTAAATACAGGCATGTAGAGTAATTGTGAATAATTCCTCCCTATTTTCAGTAATTTTATTCCACTCTTCCAGTTATTTTTACCATTCCAGTAGTTTTGTTGTCAGTTTGATGCACAGTCACTCAAAAAACTATCTTTCTTGGGGAGCGGTTGAGGAGTTTTACAATGAACACTGAGACTTGTGTTGTCTCGGGAGGGTTGTCCAAATTCTTCATCTGTTGTGTCATATTGTTTAACATAATTTTTGTAAAGATAGTTTTTTAAATGACTGTACAGGTGGCCCCCCAAGTTCTCGAATTTTTATTTTGCGGTCCTCTATTATGTACCCAAGGATGTCTGTGGGTAGTTTTAAAATTGCTGGTATTTTTGCAGCTGTAACAGGGAGTCATTTGTTCTAGAGACAGTAATTTACTTTACCTGTATTGTAAATATTGGTGTGTGTGTGTCACAAAACACATGCAAATAAATAATAATGGGAAATTCCTCTCACAAATAATCAGAAACAAATTTAATAAAAATGTGAGTCTTCAGACTGTCACATTTTTATTAAATTTGTTTCTGATTATTTGTGTAAGGATTTTCCCATTATTATTTATTTGTATGTTGTATGTGTTTTGTGTGTGTATATATACAGTACAGGTAAAAGAAATTATTGTCCTAAGGGTAAATACATGAAGGGAATACTGTATACATTTCTTTGTACACAAGTAAAAATATCCCTCCCCCCGTCAACAAATTTTATTCACAGATTTGGCGATTCGCGGCCATTTTGAGAACCTAACCCCTGCAAATTTTGGGGGCCCCCCGTACAGCCAATTAAAAAAGTATCGATACTTGAGGGTGTGATGGAAAGGAAAATAAGTGATTACCTCCAACTCATTCACTCATCAATGGGGTTGGTCTTGACCCGATGCTTCATATTTTTTCTGACACCCGGGGACTTGATAATTTGGGATTGGCTATACAGTACCGGTGTTATTCCTCCTTTCATCTAACACCGGGTTATGCCAACAGGCCTCCACCGGGAAGGAGCTACAGTTAACTCCCTGTTCGGTATATACTTCTGGGATATATTGTACGCTCCTGTGTGTGATGTCTTCCGGTTCCCGCATCAAGCAACACCACTGGATCTAGATGATGGCCACTTTTACACAGCCAGGAAGGAACAGATTGAGACCAGGTTAGTTGTGGTGGATTTTGAAGTGTATTTATTAATACATTTATTTATTTATTGTTTTACAAATACAGTAGTTATTCTGTTAGCCAGAATCCCTCAAACCCGGAACTCTCCGATCGCCGTAATTGAAATTTTCCGAGGGACACATTTTCCGGAAAATTACGAGAAAATCTTCCTGCTACCCTGAAAATTACGAAAAATTCCAGGGGTGGAGGTTTTTCTGGGTTTGAGAGATGAAAATCAGGTGCATATCCCAGAAATGCCTATAAAAATTTTCCAGTATCCTGGAAAATCTGGAAAATTCCAGGGATGGGGATATTTTGCTGGGTTCAAGAGATGATGTAATGGGCAATTTATGGAATTTCCGAGAACTTTTTTTCTGTTAACCGAAAATTCCAGGATGAGAGATTTATTCTGGCTTCGAGAGAGTCGCTCACCCAGAAATCTCTTCCCGAAGCGCTTGCACCAATTGTTCGCATGAGTCGGGTTGTCTACCATCTCCTCCTCCTCCTCCTGGTTAGCTGCTGCTTCAGTAGAGCCTGTTCACTGTCAGAGAGTTCTGCCTCGATTTGTTGTAACTTACTACCATTACCGAAAAAATATTGATCCCCTCTGCATAATTAGCTGTGTTTATACAGTATGCATGCTTTCACCGTGCGAAAACCAGCTCCCCAAATTTGTCAAGGCAGGAATATATAACATCTGGCAACTCTACGGTGTTTCCCGCACGACTAGAAGTTGGAGAAACTTGGCCAGTACCCCACTTGCTATCGATCAGGGTGCGCGTTAATTTTTGCTCACCAAGCTCATAAGTGGAAATTAAGACACGCCCACAATTAGCCCCAAATTTTCTTTAAAAACCATATTCATGACTCCCAAAAAGATATCTGAGGCAAAGAACGGTTGGATCCTTGCCCTGCCAGAGGAAAGTCACTGTGAGAGAAATTTCAAGGAGAACAGGACGAGGAATGGCAACAATTAAGAGGCTCAAGCGATAGACATGCAACCTTCCCGCCAACATTATTTCACCAAGGAAATTATCACCAGGAAGACCTCCAAATGCACTGATTCACTACTGAGGCTTGAGATAATAAGAGATCCTAATATGAGTGCATCACAACTGAAGAATGCACACCCCATCCTCCTGCTAAACGTATCAGAATGAACAATTCAACATTACCTTCAAAAGGAACTTCATCCGCCTTCCCGTCAAGTTGCACGAAAACCACTTCTCACAGGCCTGAATGCGGCGTCAGCGGCTTGCTTTTGCAAGAAAATACCAGCACTGGGACAAAGAACAATGGAATTCTGTGATGTGGTCTGATGAAAGCACATTTTTGCATCCTGACTGCAGGGAAACGAACAGTCAGAAAGCCCACCAACACCAGCCGGTTTGATCCTCATTACACCATTAAAACCGTGAAACATCCTGCAAGTGTGACGGTGTGGGGAGCGTTCAGTGGAAAAATGACGAGATGATGCCCCGTCACAGGTCAAAAAAGTGTGACAACTTGGCTTCATGAAAGAGCTATCCCATTCCTGGAGTGGCCTGGGAACTCACCAGATTTAAACCCCATCGAGAATGTATGGCACGAGATGAAGCGGAAGCTGTCAACACATGACACATCAACTGTACATCGGCTACAGGAGGAAATCAAGCACATGTGGGAGTTTGAGATGGATGGAGAGTATTTTCAAATGTTAGCAGAATCCATGCCAAAAAGACTTCAACTGGTAATAAAATGTAAGGGAAATATGACTAAGTACTATATAGTAGTAGTAGAATAAAACATTTTAGGCTGTAAACGTATTTATTCATCCTTGAAATATTTTTTGTATGAATATAGGTGAAAAATTAAAGGGTATCAATGTTTTGCGGTAATTGTAATGAGTCTCTCTGCTGGTGAAAGTCTTTATAGAGTGACTGATAGTAGAACAGTTTAACATTACTGAAGAATTCGTGGTCAAGTGGCTGCAGAAGCAATGTGGTGGTAGGAGGAAGGAAGATAACCTGTACATTAGGATGGCAGAGTGTCCAGGAGCATCACCAGGATCACTTTGTAGTCAATGTTCTTCCTCCGGCAGTACTGTTGGGCGTCAGGAACAGAGTGCTTGTCAAACCATTCGGTGCATAAAGCTGTAACCCAAGCTTTCTTATTAGATGTCCAATAAACATTGAGCTTCGATGTATTGGCATGACGGTAAGCTCTAGGACAGGCAGAACGGTTAACAACCAGGGGTTTCATCAAGAATCTCCACTTGCATTAGCTGTGAATAAAACTAATCCTGTCCTTTGAAGTCTCCTTGCCTGTTTTTCATCCTTGGCAATGAAAATGGTGTTAGGTGAGTGCTTCCAGAAAATGCCAGTTTGGTCACAATTGAAGATCTGGTCTTGGCAATAACCACCCTCTTTCACAAGAACTTGAAAGACAGGTGGTTATTTTTCTGCTGCTTACACACCAGCCGATGCACTCTCCCCATGGTAGTGGGAAACTTGACTTCATAATGCTTCTAAAAAGCAGCCAACCAACCAACAGAAGCATTGAATGGTGGTGGAGAGTTAACGTGTTTCTTCTGTGCAACTGCAGCGTAATAAACACTTGCCTGATGCCTCATCTGTGGCCCAGACAGGTCGCCCTGCTCACGGCTTCTTCTTTCCACCCACTTGTAAAGGTAATGTTCTGTGATTACAAGCAGTAGGTTTTATTGTGAAGTATTGGAGAACTTCCTGTTACTCAAAAATCATGAGAACACATTCACAGAAGCAGTTAAGGCTTCCTTGTTCTTCTCAAGGGAGTGTAAGGGTGATCTTGGGCAGTTGAACCTACACATGATTTCACAGGTACGAGCACCACTTCCGATCATTTCAAGCATCTCTCGTTTCATTTCAAGGGTGTGTTTCCTCTTCTTGACCCCCTTATAGTAGTCACGTATGGCTTGGGGCTTTCCTTGTTGACCTTTTCTACGGCCATCATTACCACCAGAACTGCTCCCGACATTTACATTACGAACCTCACTCATCGTTGATAGCTAAACAAGAATCTCACTAAACGTAATTACAATGAGTTATATAATCCAAGGTCACTGCACCCCCTGCTCTCGCTCACTCAAACTAACTGCCGTAAACAAAAAACACACGGTGGATAACAAAACACCGTGACAATGCGAGCTGCCCACTCTCCATTGACTCGCGAAACTAGTATTGAAACTTGCTATTCTTGAGAGGCTGGAAATTTTAAAAGTGACGCACGAAATTGGTATTGAAACTCGCTATTCTTGAGAGGCTGGAAATTTTAAAAGTGACGCGAAACACATGAATCACAAATCTAAAACTCGCTAAATTCGAGACCTTACTGTATATAGAAAAATTAAGGCAATGCTGTATACGTTTTCCAATATACTTCCTGTAGTTATGGAGTCTATTTCTATTAAGATGAGTTTCACATCTAACGAACCTTCGATATAACAGACTCCTCTCCATAAGTCCGTTAAATAGAGATTTCAGTGTGAATGGTGATTTTTAGTTTTATTATTATTATTATTTGTACTTTTCTCTCCAGACTTGCTGAGCTACGTAGTTGGACAGAAGAAGAAGGATCAGCTGAACTAGAAAGAATCTGGAGTAGCCACGCTGGAGAGGTTTCCATGGTGTCTTGGGATATCTTTCGAAGTCTTGAACATGCAAAGGTGCAAGTCACTCAGTAATTCCAGTTCCTTCTGTTCTCAGTAACATCTTAACATCTGTTGAGTAAACTTGATTTTCTTCCATAGATTTTAACCTTATTTTTGTATGTGTTAAAAAAAAAACTCATCATAATTTTTCAGGGTTTGATTGTCAGCTTGAGTTTACCAGTGTTGGCCGCTATATGTGCTCGTCTGGCTAAGGATCACAGGTTTACTCGCAGTGGCTTCCCAGACCTGATTGTATGGAACCCCACTACTAAAGTTAGTACATTTTGAAAGTTATATATGTTTTCCTTCTTAATATAGTATATAATTTGTGTTTATCTAAAAACCAAGAACTATGCCTCCTTTTTTTCCCCTCTCAGAATATGAGTGAGTTGTATAATCTAAGAACTGTGCTGTACATTTTTATTGTATTTTCCTTCATTTGAGTTAAATTTAAACAAAATGTGTGTTTATTCTCTTAATTGAATTTAACTTTAGGGGTATTTACTGTAACATTATACTGGACTTATATCAAAGGAGGTATTTTTATACAGTTAAATGAACCACAAACCCCAAGATTCACACACATCAATCCCAAGCATTTATTGTCAGAATATTTCAGTCTACTGCTTCGGGTTTGCTAGTCTAACTCTCAGGGTTCATGGTTCAAGGGGAGAGGTGAACGGACTTTAGTATAGTTGACCATATACTAAACTAGTATGGCGGTGATATTCTGTACTACCTCTGCATTGGCACATTTTCCACTCTTGTTTAACTCTTCCAGCAAATATTATATGTGAGGTGAGAACTAGATGATGTCCACAGTAACCAGTGACCATATAAGAAAGGAAAGGTTCTTTAGTACATTAGAAAGATTTCATTTAATTTTTATGTATGTGTTTGCTACATGACTTTCTTGGTTCAACAGAAATGTCGCATTGTTGAAGTGAAAGGCCCAAATGATCGATTGTCGATGAAACAGATTCTCTGGCTTGATTACCTCATGTCAAGTGGAGCGACTGCTGAAGTGTGTCATGTAGAAGGTTGGTCAAAATATTCTTTCTGTTTTTAGTTGCTTTTACTTGGATATGATTCATTGTAGGAATATATTTTAATAAGAAAGATCTACTTTTGGTAAGAATAAATTGTAGATATAGTATACATCCTATGCTTAACCCCTTGTGTACAGGGTTGTCTCTGAGCTGAATAAAATCATTTGGGGGTTAGCCAAATTAAATATTACGAGTGGCAAACCCCGTAAACTGAGATTTTAGGTCTACCATATATGTATTGCAGCCTATAAGATGACCATTGAAGCTCCAATTTTTGTCTTCAAAACGATTAGCAATCTTGGGGTTTTCATACGCAAAATTGGGTATTATACAAATTATCTCTCGGGTTTTCATACTGTAATTTGCATATGAAGTAAAAAATTTAAATAATATACAGTATTTTATGTTTTCGAATGAACTCTAGATACGCAGGAAGCACATGTAGCAACATCAGTGCGAGCCTGTAACTTCGTATGTATGTAGACTGCACTCCAAGGTCACCATGCCAGTCTCATTTTTGTGTTTAAAGGACCCAGGACATAACGTTGATCTACATTTCCTATGCATTTTCTTGCGGTTTGTGCTGATTTCGTGTGAGCGATTTCATTTATTAATATCAGTGTTTTGAGAGTTTTGAACTGTGTTGCTGGCTAGGATGGAGGGAGAGGTGGGAAAACGTAAAGAGTGGAAGGGGATTTGTACCACTTAGTGATAGTGTGGTGCCTCTCCCTGGCCCTTCTACCATAAGTTATAGTTTGTTTGGCTCTTCAAGAAGCAGTCCTGGTGGTATGGCTCAGTTGTACAATTATCTTTTGCGCCCGGAGGGAAAAAATTTATAATTTGCACTCGGCCTGGACGCTCTCATCAAAACGCCTTCTGACTGCCATGCTCTCTCAATAAACCTAAATTATTATTATTATTATTATTATTAATTATTATTACTGAGTGAAATATAAATTTTTCACAACTTTTCTTCTATACCGGTAACTATTTTTTGCTAAATACTGATACTGTATGTTCGATTTATAACGGAATAAGTTTCATATTGCAATCACGTGAAGTAACAAAGGTTTTAAGTGATTTATAAACATTTTCTGTAAGCATAAACAAAAATTTTGTGTTGCACATACACTTGCACATAGAAATAATTATTTTATTGTGATTACTCATATACAACTGTTTGTAGATAATTTATTTACAATGCTAATGCAACAAATCCCATCTCTTTATCTCAAACAGCAAGCTTACTGTGACTCATTATGTACAATTATCTCTCATGTGATCCAGTCATGTGCTGTGATGGAGTAACAGGTCAGACCCCAGAGCCCCTACCCAAACCCAAGATTGTTAATGTGTTAATATTGTGTAATGGCATCTTACCTCTTTGGATTTATGGTGTACATGTGTCTGATGTACAAGTAGTCCTTCTTTATTGCTGGAATTATAGTTTTTAAACTCTTGTGATGTGCAAAACAATAGATAAAGAGGAGGATGTTGTAGGAAAATTAAATAAGAAATACAATTGAGATGTGTATGAATGTTTATCCTCTCACTGATCAGCCAGCCGCCTCCACCATCTATGTTTATCCTCTCACTGATCAGCCAGCCGCCTCCACCATCTACACACACATTTTTAGCACTTTCATGACATTAAAACAATATTAGTTAATAATTTTTAAAATGCATAAAAGAATTATGTAAGTTGTGACAGTGAGTGATGTATTGAGAGGTAGTGTGTGTGTGTGTCCACCTTGTAAGGCTGTGCATTTAGAAGGCTTTTGCACTCAGCTTGACTATTTAGATATAATTGCATTGCACAAAAAAGTTGCAAACAAATATTTTGGTCTCAAACTTAATTACAATAAATGAAAACTTTGATAAGCAAACTTAATATCATTGTGGACAACCTGTACAGTATTTTGTAACACAATTTTAAATTTTCAGCTATTGGTGCCAAGAAGATGAGCAAGGCATCCCCCCGCAAAGTGTCACCGAGGAAAGTTTCCCCAAAGAAAGTTGTGTCTCCCAAGAAAGTTTCCCCAAAGAAAGTTGTGTCTCCCAAGAAAGTTTCCCCAAAGAAAGTTGTGTCTTCCAAGAAAGTTTCCCCAAAGAAAGTTGTGTCTTCTCAGAAATCTAGTACTTATAAAGAAACAGAAAACAAATCTGAAAATGTACTAAAAGAGAACAAACAAACAAAAAAGAACCAAAGAAAGAAAGTTGGTGAAAGTGACAGCTCAGTCAGAATGAAAGCTCACAAGAGCAGTGACAGTGTTGCCTGGAGTAACAACAGCTCTGGAGATGATTTTGAAGAACATGGCAATAAAATTACAGAAAGACATAGTAGGAAAAGGAAAAGTGATGATGATCAAGAGAAGAAAAAGAATATGAGAGCCAAAAAAATTAAGGAAAGTGATGATGATGTTAATGATAAAAAGCAAACAACAAAATTGAACAGAAGAAGGAAGTTAAAATAGTATATAAGTGTTTGGAGTTTGAATTAAGTTTATATGCAGAAAATAACTACAGTAAGACCCCCACACAACACCCATTGTTATCACAATTGTTGTGTAAATTTCTATTGCAGTGTTTGTGAAATTAATCTCTTGAACAAAACTTCTTAAGGTGTTAGGAGTGGCAGTGCACTACATTATGCTTATGTTGCATGCAATATTTTTGACCATGCATTTCATCTTTAATCAGTGTCTTATTTTGTTTTGACCGTTAATGGACTTAAAGTCAGTTTAGTAAGATTGTTATTATTGTGGGTGCAAGTTGAGCATCTTATTTGGAGTCTTGGTATTTCTGAAATACCTTTCTTACAGTGTTTAGTATACTGTAAATGGGGATTAAGCAGTTCAGCATTCTTCCCTTTGTGATGCTGAATGTAGGTGAATCTGGCAGCAGCTTCTTTTCTTAGTGTCACTGATCAAAGCATCTCTGTTGTGCAAGTTGATTCCATAGGTATGACTTCCCAACACTAAGACTATGAAGTGATAACTGTCTCCTTCTGGACCTCAGTATGAAGATGAAGGATGATGTGGTCTTCACATTTAATTGATTTTTAAATTCCAATCACAACTCAATGCCCACGGAATTTCATCCCATGGTCTTGGTAGCTCTGCAGAGTTACTCACTGCACCTTGGTTATCAGAAACAATTTCAAGGGGCAAATCCTCCATTTCTATATAGAGTAAAGCCTCGAATAACGAACTCAATCCGTTCCAGAAGGTCGTTCGTTAACCGAAACCATTGTTTCAATGGGTTTTTGGGTAATTGGTTCCAGCTCACCGAAAATTTCCTAAATTCAACAAAAATGGTAGAAAAGTTCACTTACTTTGAGGTGTGTATGTAGAAGGCTCCTGGATGATGATGATGATGATGGGATTTAGAATGGGGGTGGAGGAGAAGGAAGAAGAGAAAGCATTGGGGTGGAAGTCACCCCATGGTGCCATTTCACCCATAAAATTTTAGTTCTCTTGGTGTAATTCAAGATTATTTTCTTTAAATCAACACTGCACTGCATTATATATTGTCAATATGTAAAATATATTTCAAAATGACCAATAATTTGCTTGGAAAAAGAAAAAAAGCATTTAGTTGAAGAGAGTCTCAAGCAAGATGTTACCTCCAGTGAAAACAGAGAGAGACTAACTCCTGTTTGCTGTGTTAAGAGGCTGGATGCCGCCCATTAAACGAGTCACTTTACCTTCAATTATGTTCAATAATTGTTAAAATGACTAAAAAATTGAATATTAAACTTAAAATTATTGAATAGTATAAACTTCTTGATATTTACTAAAATAGTAAGGAATTTAAGCCCTAGAACCGATTAATGTATTGGCGGACTGATACTAAAGCTGGTTGCCCGGTCAGTGCAAGCGAAAACATGTTGAAGTCGGTTCGTAAGAACTTCGTTAACCGAATTTTTTTTCGTTAACCGAATTGAAGATCCTTATGGAAGGCAGTTCGCAAACCGAAATTACGTTAACCGAGGTGTTCGTTAAACGAGGGGTCACTGTATTGTCAATTATTAGTTACCATTAAAATAAAGGAATAATAATGAGATGCATTCCCTAGTGTGACCTTTTCATGTCTTTTGTGTGGCTTTTTACCCTCCACAAAACAATAAAATGAATGAGAAATGCAAACTTTAATCTTTAAATGTTTCTGAATGCACCTTATACAATATAAATGAATAATAATATGGTCACAAGAGGAGATGGGACGCCATTGTTGTCGTTAGTGTTTACACCCGGGACGATGGTTCTATATAAGAAAATAAGACCCTGGTTGTAGCTGTACTAAAATTAATGTTAAAAAAGTATATACTGTATTTGCTTTAAGTTATGTTATTTTATGTTAATAAATGGAACAATAGAAGTAGCTCACCACTAATGGCAAAGAAAAAGCGAGATGGATTGGTAACAACGCCAACGTTTGTAAGTGCGTACATGTGAAAACATCGTCGTTTCTCAACATAAGAATATGAAAGCAACTTACAGTATACACTTTCTTTTAGCTTTTGAACCAGCACTACCATCACTTGCTCATGTTGAATAGGGATGCAAAAATGCAATAAGAAATCTGAGAATGTTTTTCTCTTTTTCCTGTTCAGATGCATGAAAACAAAAGGCCCCCAGCTGCGACTGTTTATACTAGTGATGCTGGCGTCACCACTCACTAGCCCGGCAGCCTCCGTGCGTGTTTTTTCTATTTTTTTTATATTACATATCGGGATTTAGTTGTTATGTACAGTATATGAAAATATTATTAATTTTTATTTTTTATTCGATTTTTGTTGTAAGTACGAAGAAAATAATGGCATAAATAGAATTGGTCCTAAATTAACCAGGGTTTTAAATATGACTCGTCGTCAGTAGAACCGTCGTTATTGGAGGCTTTCCTGTATTTAACCTAAGAATGGGTTTATCATTTGGTGATCTCAAACTCTATTCGAAATCACCTGGAGAAGCACCGATTGATCAATGATTCCCAGCATGGCTTCACAAGCGGACGTTCTTGCCTAACTAATCTATTAACATTCTTTTCATCAGTTTTCGAATCGGTGGACGAGGGGCACAATTATGATGTGGTATATCTCGACTTTAGCAAAGCCTTCGACAGAGTCCCCCACGAAAGACTAATTAGAAAGGTAGAAGCACATGGCATCAAAGGTGACATCCTTAAATGGATTAGGGCGTGGTTACAGGACAGGAAACAGCGAGTGAGCATTAACGGCACTAAGTCCCATTGGAGCAACGTCACAAGTGGTGTTCCCCAAGACTCAGTACTTGGACCATTATTATTTATTATATACATAAACGACATAGATATCGGCATAGACAGCAACATAAGTAAATTTGCTGATGACACTAAAATAGGACGTGTTATTAAATCTGACGAGGACTCGGCAAAACTACAGGAAGATCTAAACAAATTTTTCGAATGGTCTGAAAAATGGCAGATGAAATTCAACGTCGACAAATGTAAAGTACTCAGTATAGGAGATGTAAACAGGGAAACCAGATACCAGATGAACAACGATGCCATAGAGAAATCCGACTGCGAGAGAGATTTAGGAGTAATGATAAGTAGGAACCTTAAACCAAGTAAACAATGTGTTTTTGCTCGTAACAAGGCTAATAAAGTACTTGGTTTCATACAAAGGAGTGTTAGTTACAAGACTAGCGAGGTCATCCTAAAACTGTATCTTGCTCTTGTGAGACCACACCTGGACTACGCAGTTCAGTTCTGGTCACCGTATTACAGAATGGATATAGAATCCTTGGAAAGAATTCAGAGGAGAATGACAAGACTAATCCCGGGCATTAGGAACCTTGAGTATAGAGACAGGCTAAAGCATCTTAATTTGCACTCCCTCGAGAGACGTAGAGCGAGGGGCGACCTGATAGAGGTGTATAAGTGGAAGGCAGGGCTAAACAAAGGGGACATTACAAAGGTACTCAAACTATCCAACCAGGAGCGAACTCGTAACAATGGCTTTAAATTAGATAAATTTAGATTTAGGCGTGAAATTGGTAAACACTGGTTTGGAAACAGAGTAGTGGATGAATGGAACAAGTTACCAAATATCATCATTAACTCGAATACGCTGAATAGCTTCAAACATAGGTTGGATGCTTATATGAGCAATAGGGGTTGGGTGTAAACGGGACTGCCCAGTATGGGCCAATAGGCCCGCTGCAGTTTCCTCCATTCTTATGTTCTTATGTTCTTATATTAAACTAACTTTTATTGAAAGAGTTAATTTTAGTTTTCTGACGCAGAGGCAGTTAGATATACCATAATTTAGTCCTCAAAGATTTTAGACTATCCTAAATCTGAAAGCAACACTTGGGCACCCGTGTCATATTGTATCACGCCGTAAGGGTGCCCAATAATTTTTTCAGTGTGTACATGTACTCGTAATAATTTAATTTTTGGCTGTCAAGGCATAAGAGCATTCCAGTGTGGTTGTCTAGTCTTTTTGTTGACAGATCTTACACCGGGTACAACAGCTGACCGACAGTGGTTGTTGTACCAGTTGTTTATCTTAGAAAACAAAGTGTAGGTGGTCTTAGGTTCACCCATTTATAATTACAGAGAGCAAAATTATATTATCTTATGCTTAAACTCCATACAAAGATGATGTGTTGTATAATGAATTTATTTTGGGGGTCAGTATATTCACTTGCCTTTGACCCACACTGCTGTATCAACAACTGGAATAATAATAATAACAATTAATTAATCTTGTTTATAATTTTCCAAAATACTTCTGTCAATTAGTTTATCATAGTAATCTTTCAAAAAACTGATTTATTTAAGTAATTTAATATTTTTTTTATACTGTTATAAGTACACAAAATGTGCAAAAACTAAAAAATACGTGATTATCATAAGGTCAAAAACGTAGAGAGAATACAGGCACTAAGTACTGTATAAACATTTATTACATCCACGGGAGTCAGGCCACAATCTGGGGAGGGGAAGGGATAGCTTGCTCCTGTCTCCCATGTTTTGAGTGAAATGATTGGAAAATGGCAATACAGTGGTTTATTTATATTTTATATTTATTAGTAGAATTATTTTTATTCATTCCCCACATTTACGGAGGAATGCATTAGACGGTGGGTACGTCAAATTCAATGCTGTGGTTGGTGAAATTATATACTGTGCAAAGTAAAATCCGTGGATACCTAGAGTCCACTGATGGGAAATTGGCGGTTGGCGAGGGTCTGCTGTACAGTGTTGCATTTTACTTCTTTTGACCCACCCTTTAACCCTAAACCCCGGTTGACATTCCTGAACGTTCTTAATTTTTGCGGCATGTTTTTTATGTCCAGGTGAGAGGAAATACTTTGTATGGGATATCTGTGTAATTGGCAACTCAACTTGTATGTATTTGTGTGAAGACTCATGCCTCTCTTATGACCCACCTCGCTCTGCACCCAATTGAAGGTATTTGCTTGACAGTAATGCTGTTTATCAAGTGGATTGATATAGTATTGGGTGACAAAAACAATGATGATGGAACAGAATCCTGATGATGTCAAGTTTTCTGAGGTGGTGAGGAGTGTTAGGCCTCCAGTCCCTCCCAGTCCCAACCACCGTGAACCATGGCACAAATATATGGTGCAAGGAGTGTGGAGTTGCCTTGTGCAGTCCATGTTACAAAGACTTCCGCATGATCAAGAAGTTCTGAATTCAGTAGAAGTACATATATATAGTGCATATACTGTATGTACTGTACCTGTATTTGAAAATAGTGATGAGTTTTGTTCTGCCTAAATATTCCTACTGTTCAGTATTTTATAGTTGATTTGAGGAAAATAGAAATATTTTGTGTTTTGTAATAGCGATAAGAACTGTGTGTTGCAAGTGTGTCAAATTCACTTCCCGCTCACTGTGGGCTGTGCACAGTTGCTTCAAACATGACATCTTTCATCACTCCGCACTGCTCATCAACACTCCAGACAACTCTCCATCTATGCTACAATGAAAGTTAAACATAAGTACATTCTTCTCTGAGACCCTCACATAAACTCCAGTTACTCTATACAGTAGGTCATGTCTTTGGTTGTGTATACCCGCGGTCACCCTCTCTACTGTAATATTAAAAGCACTATAAATGTTGGGAAGAGATCTATACATGATATCATAATACCAGTCACTGTGAGGTTATGGCAGCCAAATATTAATTCCAACATTGTGTTTGACATGTACCAATATGCATAAAAACATGTGTTAAAATGCAAGCTGTGTAAGAGTGGCCCCTAACTACACTGAGAATCAAGGA